TTTTGCAACAATTATTTGGGAGGTCCTTCACAAAAAACCTTCTTTTGGGCACTCGAAAAATGGAAAATTCTTTTTTCGTCCAAAGAAAATGAAAACTTTCTTAGGAAACATTGTTTGCGATTCCAATATGCACCCTTATGCATAATATGAGATCATTTGAACAAACTATGCCATGAATGTGGCCATAAGATTGATCATTTGGCTTGAAAGACATTGATCTCCACACGTGATAGCTCGTTTCTGAGAACACTTTTTTAAAATAATTGCCGTATTACAAGTTTGTTATTTTTCCTGGGAACTTGGCCACATATAATGACACAATGCGAAGGTTTCCCAATTTTTTGATTTTTTTTGAATTTTTTATGCCCGTTTCGAAATGCGGTCAAAATAGCGGGAATGACCGTTCCTAGCTAGCGGTTGAATCATGGAATTTTTTGGTGTTTACTTATGTACCTATAAATGATTTTTGGAAAAAATAAATAGCAAACTATGAGGCAGCTGCAGTTCAAATTTGACCCGCTTCCAACTTAATCGGCGAAAATTTGTCTTTTTCACGAGAGGTGGATCAAAACTTTTTAAACCCAACCATTTTGTCAATTGTGCATTAAATATGTCCTAGTATTTTATAAAATTAATTTGGTCCAATTTTGCAACAATTATTTGGGAGGTCCTTCACAAAAAACCTCCTTTTGGGCACTCGAAAAATGGAAAATTGTTTTTTCGTCCAAAGAAAATGAAAACTTTATTAGGAAACATTGTTTGCCATTCCAATATGCACCCTTATGCATAATATGAGATTATTTGAACAAACTATGCCATGAATGCGGCCATAAGATTGATCATTTGGCTTGAAAGACATTGATCTCCACACGTGATAGCTCGTTTCTGAGAACACTTTTTTTTAAATAATTGCCGTATTACAAGTTTGTTATTTTTTCTGGGAACTTGGCCACATATAATGACACAATACGAAGGTTTCCCAATTTTTTGATTTTTTTTGATTTTTTATGCCTGTTTCAAAATGCGGTAAAACGACGGGAATGACCGTTCCTAGCTAGTGGTTGAATCTTGGAATTTTTTTGGTGTTTCTCTGACTAAATAGGTACTTATGTACTTAGAAATGATTTTTGGAAAAAATAAAGAGTAAACTGTAAGGCAGCTGCAGTTCAAATTTGACCTGTTTCCAACTGAATCGGCGAAAATTTGTCTTTTTCACCAGAGGTGGATCAAAACTTTTTACACCCAATCATTTGGTCAATTGTGCATTAAATATGTCCTCGTATTTTATAAAATTTATTTGGTATAATTTTGCAACAAATATATTATAGGTCCTTCACAAAAAACTTATTTTGGGCACTCTAAAAATGGAAAATTGATTTTTCGTCCAAAGAAAATGAAAACTTCCTTAGGCAACATTGTTTGCCATTCCAATATACACCCTTGTGCACAATATGAGATCATTTGAACAAACCATGTCATGAATGTGGCCATAAGATTGATCATTTAGCTTGAATGCCATGGATCTTCACGCATGATAGCTCATTTTTTAGAATACTTTTTTGAAATAATTGCTGTATTACAAGTTTATTATTTTTTCTGAAAACTTGGTTACATATAATGACACAATGCGAAGATTTTCTATTTTTTTGATTTTTTTTGATTTTTTTATGCCCGTTTCAAAATGCGATCAAAACGACGGGATTGACCATTCCTACCTAGTGGTTGAATCTTGGATTTTTTTGGGTGTTTCTCTGATGAAATAGATACTTATGTATCTAGAGATGATTTTTGGAAAAAATAAAGAGCAAACTATGAGGCAGCTGTAGTTTAAATTTGACCCGCTTCCTGCTGAAACGGCGGAATTTTGTCTTTTTCACCAGAGGTGTATAAAAACTTTTGACAACCAACCATTTTGTCAATTGAACATTAAATATGGCCTAATATATTATAAAAATGATCTGGTCCCATTTTGCAACAAATATATGGTAGGTCATTTAAAAAAAAACTTAATTTAGGCACTCGAAAAATAGGAAATTACGGCGCCCCGATCGCTCAATTTGAACTCAATTCTCCTCGATCCAGATCGCTCCTCCCTCCCTCCCCTCCGGCATTACGGCGCCCCGAAGCGTGCGTGCTCGACGAGAGGATAGCGCTCCCCACCTCTTCTCCACCTCGCGCCTCGTAGTCGTACTACCAACCAACCCCGGCCGACGCAACTCCAGTCACTCCCGGCCTCCCGCGATGGTCGCCACGGCGAAGATCCCGCAGCGGCAGCTCTTCATCGACGGCGACTGGCGCTGCTGAACCATCCCACGAGGGAGCTCCAGCAAGGCCGCTCGGGTGGTGCGCTGGACGGTCGCCGACCTCGCGTAACCCCGGCGCCGCACGGCTCCGAGCACCCGGCGACCTCGGCGTACCGCAGGAGCGGACCCGACCCACAGGCGAAGGTGCGTTCATCCCCTTCTCTATATGGAGTACGACGGCCCACTAGCTTCCTGATGGGTACTGTCTCTGAATTTCCATCCCCTTCTCTTGCGCAAATGCATCCAACAATGGAGGAGATGAATCCATCCAATGCAACCAGCCGCTACTCTGCTTTCCACGCATTTGTCCTGTTTGATGAAATGCCTAGCTTGTACAGTACTACATTGCAGATTCGATACACTGTCACTCCCTAATGGATTGGAATGGTACTGTGTAAAGTAGCATGTCTGAAACAACCAGATTCCCTTTGGTAATCGAGATAACCTTTTACTCAGCATTATCCCAGGCAACTTTGGAACATCATCCAAGCTGGTAGAATGTCAGTTAAACAGTCTTTGACTGCCAATGTTATCATTTCTGTTAGCCCTCTGTATAAGAGGATGATTTGCCCACATAAATTGCTTTGTAAAGGTAAGCTTTCCTTTAGAATAAAAAATTGCGTTGTTGCTGATTTAAAACAAAAAAAGCATTTTAACAAAAGACTTATTTATTGAAAAGGGGGTTCAACAGCGATGGTCCGAGTGTGGTTTGTTTCTCTACAATTTTTTGGAGTGTGGGCTATTCGATCTGACGCGGCTCGTCGACGCAGGGTGATCGAGGAGAGGGGAGAGGCCTGGGCGAGTGGACCGGTCCGATCGGTCAGGGTGGCGACCAAGGAGCTAAGGATGTCGAGGAGGGCGGTGAACCCCGGCGGTCATGGAAAGGCGGCTCGACATGTGTAGGTGCCTCGTCAACCCGTGAACTCTCACAGGATAATTAATCCGGTTCCCTTTTGATCTCTTCGCATCAATTCTGCCGCACATCCCAGTAAACCTAGATTAATTTGGTTCTTTTGTTTTACTTATTGCAGGTGACACTGCTCTGGCCATTTCTGCGGCTTATGGGATGCCTGCTATCACGAGATATCTCCTGGGTCGTGGTGCTGATCCAACTTGGACGGTGGAACAAAGAAACAATGAGTTTCTTTCTGTGCGACAACTTTGAGGATTGGATTATAACGTGAATTGGTTTCTGATACTCTGTCGCTCAAGTGTTAATTCTAGTCTTGTTTGCTCACCATTCGATGACTTTTGCTATTATTATAGTAGGCGCAATCAGCATGACTTCTTATGTGTTTCTTTTGCTATTATTATAGTAGGAGGTTGCTATTTTTTTATTAGAACAAACATGAAATTGGTTGCTCTATTAGGCAACTCATTTTTTTGTGCTATTTCCTGGAGCTTCGAGTGAAGAGTATGCTTGCAATAGGGCAGCCCGGTGCATGTAGCTCCCGCTTGCGCAGGGTCCGGGGAAGGGTCCGACCACTTTGGGTCTATAGTACGCAGCCTTTCCCTACATTTCTGTAAGAGGCTGTTTCCAGGACTTGAACCCGTGACCTCTTGGTCACAAGGCAGCAGCTTTACCACTGCGCCAAGGCTCCCCTTCGAAGAGTACGCTTGCAATGCCTGCCATTTTTGTGTGCTATTTTTTTGTGTGCTATTCCCTAGTTTGGGATTTTCTCCCAATTCCTAGGCATCTAGTTCCTATACTAATATACTTGTACTGCTCATGCTGCTGTTGCTAGTGGTCTTGTAGCACACAGCACATCACTTCTAGTTCCTATACTAATATACTTGTACTGCTCATCCAACTCTACTGATACATGTTTACACTGTTAATTATTGGTGAATGGTGATGTCTGTGGTCACGAGATCCTTTCCGCAGTTTGCAAAATGCTGTGGTGAATCATGAAATCTACAACGTATGTCAGACTTCAGAGATGCCATTTGTCATTGATGAGAAGATATTTCATATTCTGAGCAATAATGTTTGCATTTCATACTGATAGTTGCCAAACTATAAATTGTTATAGCCTTTTTTCTTGCTGTTGATGCATGCTTATATGTTTGAGGGTCAAGTGATGAGGAATAAACCATAATATGATGGAGCTCTTCTCCTCTGATTCTTAGCATTTAAGTCTCTGATGGTACCTCAACACCCTGATATGTTTGTGGCTTTCTATGCTATCCACATACTGAAGGAAGTCCTGCTATCTTCACAACAAATATAATTTTGCTTGAACGAGTTTATAAATTGAACTATCTCCACAACAAAGATATTTACCATTTGTAGTTCCAATCTAAAGTGTTGCTTGATTTCATTTGTGGTTCAAGTGATGATGAGAAACTGCAACAATATGACAGGAGTTACACTCTTGTGATTCGTAGTTTAAAGTCTGATGATTTCTTATCTTCAAATAACCGTTGTCTTGTGAAAAGCAATGCTGCTCACATTCTTGTTTTCTTACGAATTGCTTGATGCAATTTCTAGGACGGGTTTCTTTGACACTGAGGGAGTATTGTCTTATTACTTGTATATCAATCAGCTGTTACTGTGCCTTTGTGGCGCAGTCTGAATCTCTGTAGACCGATCGTATCTGAAGCATGAGCCAAGCACATCATGTCTACAGTTTCAGAACGGAAAACCAATCATGCTATAAGTATTAAGCAACTCCATTGCAGTCTAATTTGTTCTGAATGGAGATGAAAACTTTGGTTGGTTTGCATCATACCTTATAGCCATATATATATATAAAGCTTCCATTTAACGTCTGAAGAATGCATACCTGATTTGAGTTAGATTCTAGTCTTGACTATTTTATGTAGGTGGCAACTGACAAGAGTTTCAGTCTAGCTCATCTGAAGTTTCTCTGTATGCAGGAGGGCGAGCTGGAGGAGCTTGAGAAGGGCGTGGAGCCTGCGTGGGAAAGCTTGGTCCACCTGCTCAAGCGCATCGTCGACAGGCTGAACGTCGTTGACCACATCAAGGCCGTCAAGGACTCGCCCGACCTCCGTGCCGCCGTCGAGGATGTCCAGGTAGTCTCTTCTTCTGTCACACTGCCTGTGATCTGGACGAACGAAGTCGTTGATTGGTTAGCGCATCATCCGATGATGATGTTATCTCCGTATTTCTTCTTTACTCCATGAATTTATCCTGATGAATGCTGCTTGTTTTGCACAAGCTGACAAGGACACTAGCTAGAGTGCACTGCTGCTCCTCTTCTTGCATGCAACATAATCTGAAATTCATTCAGTTCCACTGTGCGTAAACACTATAGTGTACAACTATCAACTTGTTCACTATTCAGTTTGTCACCCATTCAGCTTACTTACTGGGGCATCTTTCTTGTAAGAGTTTACTTAAAATAGATTGTAGTTTCTTTCTTGTTTGTTTTGATACCCATATACCTGCCCTGTATTAGCTCTTTCCTTTTGGGCACGATAATTCAGCATTTGTGTTGATTTGATGCCAATGTTCATAAACAAGATTTTTGATGGATGGGTTTATGTGTTCTGCTGGTATATATGCACACGGATTGGCCTTCATTATTTTGTACCTACTGTTAGATATATAGATTTGCTTTCATTTTGTACCTAACCATTTTGTTCTATAACGTGCAGATGCTGGCGCTTCATGTTTCGTCGCGAGCATCAAGACGAAGAAGTCGGAAGAAGCATAGTTCAAGCTCATCGGAGCTAGTTCAAGGAGTAACGAAGCCCTTGATGCTGATCCGTATTGGAACAAATTGAAGCACGAACTGTGACATATAGAGCTTGTTATACTGTAGAGCTTTGATGCTCATCGGCTCATGTGACATATTGTACACCTGTAGAGCTTGTTAGTGTGCAGGCTCCCGACGGGCAGCCAACGCTTTTTTGCCTCCATCTTCCACATCTTCCCTCCAAAAGACCACATCATCAAGTTCATCATGTTGGAGGTCCATGTGCTTCAACATCTAATCGAGATTGTCTTCCGTCCCTGTCCTTGCCACTGATGAGGACTGCGCCGCGCCATCCTATAGCCACGACACTAGATCCCTGATGAGGAAAACTAGTCAATTCACGGTAAAGATTGCAATCGCCGCCAGAGCACGATAAACCCTAACAAGGATGGTGTGTTTTTTCCTCTTCAGATATTATCTACTACTCACTCACTAAAGACATATAAGATCATTTAGATCGCTACTTCTGTGATCTAAATGATCTTATGTTTCTTTACGGAGGGGGAAACACGCGCCTTGCAAGAATCTCTTAGCTAGGACCTTCCAGCCTAGTCTATTATCTATTCTCAATAACACTTAGCCAGTGACAATTCTCGCCAATCCGTTATGCTCGTACTGTGGCGGTGGTCGAGCAAACGTGTTCACGCACCCCCACCCGAGCCCACCCCGCGCGCACTATTGGGTCGGCCCATATACCTAGGTTTTTCTAGTTTTAGCGAGTTTTTAGAATGTTTCATTCTAGTTTTTTTAAAAACTTTCTTAAAACTAAAACCTCTATCGGTTTTTCATCTTGGAACTTTTTTAAAATCACGCTTTAAAAAAATGTGGAACATTGTTTTTCAAATTCATGAGAATTTTTAAAATTTGTAAAAATATATATTTCTGGAGCAATTTTGAAACATTTGTGCAAAATACTTCCTATTAAATGTACAAGGCCAAATTTTGTCTGGAAATAATTGGGCCGACCCAATACATGCAACTATGCAAGCCGTGTGTTTGCTTGAGTCGTACTCCCTCCGTCCCAAAGTTCTTGTCTTAGATTTGTCTAGATACGGACGGAGGGAGTATCAAGCTATGAGCCGAACTGGAACTCCGAACAATTATGCTCTCACTTAGTGGGGAAAAAAGACGAAATATGCTGACTCGCATGCATTATCTTACAAGCAACCGAGACAAGCTGGTCATAAATATTTGTATGTACACCTCTAAGGGCATGTACAATGGTTGATAAGGCGGTCTTATCTTAAGTCTTGCATGTATTTTAGAGATGACAAAAAAGTATGTCTTCAATGGGTTATATTTTAGCCTTGTCTTCAATAACTTGTCATTCCTTAAAACATGATGAGACAAACTGTGCTAAGAGATCATCTGCTTAGTCTTCTCTTGAATAAGAGTAGACAAGCCTTTTCTTATGTGTTATTTCTTCTCAACATCATCATTTATCCTACGTGGCACTCCGAAGATAGCACCATTGTACATGCCCTAAGTCTTAACCAGACGTAACCAACGTGTCTTGCATGGTTGGTTGATCTCGTCTCGATGAGATCATAAACTGTCACCTCGTCCAGGCATAGTGCATTGTTTTCTCATGGTGGACCTTTCGTTCCATGTTTGTACTTTCACACGATAGATGAACGATTGTATCATCATCTTTGGTTTCCTTTAGACAGGAGGCGCCTGCTTGGCTTTCTAAATAAAGCTCCACACGGCCACCAAATACTTTCAACAACCGATACACGCACTTAGAATATCGCTTTGTTACTTTATTCATAAAGCAGGGCGAAAGGCTATTTTGAGAATGTCATTCTAATGTTAGTAGAACATGCCAAGCCATTCGACGGTGAGTTTTCTCTTAACATGCCATATTACCTGACTTTGCGCAGCGAAACAAGACCAAACAAACCCATGAGTTTTTACCCCGATAGCCGCTTTTCTTTTTGTCCCTTGAAGACAGTGGGAGAGCCTGGTACTAACACAATGAATTAATAATGGTACACCTTTACAAGAACTCCAACCATGTTCGCCGGACTAGGACAGACTTGGACCGATATATGAATGAGCAGAAGAAATCACATTTGAATCTATTAATCCAAGACAAATGAGTCGGTTGAATACCCCCCAAACAGTTTGTTATTTCTATCCTTCCAAATGCTCCAAAGTTCCCATCAGAAAAACATCCATAAACATGGGTCTTGACCACACCCAGCTTGCCAGCCTTCAAAATAGCAAGCATGTCTCGAGAATCAGGACAATAAACACCCAAAGGGCTCCAACACTGAGAGCTGAATGAGAAATTAAAAACAGATGTTCCAAAGTCTCCTCGGTATGAATAGAACACAGAAGGCCGCTGAAGTTGTTTCCAGTGTCATAATGCCGGTGCTTAAGCACAAGCAAACCAAAAACCTTTAGTTTCATTGGGCAGTTAGCTTTCCATAACCATTTAAACGCATCATGTACATTTATCTCACTGAAGAAGAAGTTGGAGTACTGCCTCGAGGGGAACTTGGGTGATCCCCAAGTACATCGCCAATCACCAGACAACATCTTGTTTGGGACGCTGGATACAGTTTCAACCGGCATGCTGTTAACCCCATCCCTAGCTTGAATGGACAAAGGAAGATTGAATACCATGCTGAGAGAACCAGTTCTCAGGAGATCTCTAACAGATATGTCCTCATTAAAGATTGAATACCCCGATAACTGTTGCAAAACACCGACAAACTCGCCAAAGATGGAGGTATTCCAGTTACACGATGGGAGCATCTGACCCACCCCTGCAAGAAACGCGCGATTGTAGTTGAAGAGAATATGTGAGGCATCCTCATGTTCGGCACACAATATACAGAGACCATTGGAGGGGCCATGATTTATCTGGATCTGCTCACTAGAAGGAAAAGATATATGATCATATGCCAAACTTCTATTGATCATAAGCCAAATAAGACTTCTACAGGAGTAGCGGCAATCTTTAGTACTACTAAGATTGTCGCCGGTGTTACACATCCCTTTCCCCTCTTCATCTCGCGGTCATGCGCATATGTGCTCAGCCCAACAAAATCTCTAAATAAAATATCTATTTTTCCACAATAACATATGCTAACTAGTAAGCATAAAAAGTGCAGTTGACCAGTACTTGGTCCTCGCGAACTCGATCGTAATTTCCATGCAAAAGATGTCAATCCTAATCCTTCTCCATTGCTCCTGACAACTCCAAGCCTTAAGCACTCTTCACTTAGTTGTGCCAATTGGACAGCAAACAAGTCAAGAACAGTTATCCCACGCCAAAAGCAGTATGACCATCGGTACCGGTTATTGTTGACATATATACAAACCATGTATGGATAAGTTGACTTATGTTGCATGAAGTAATACCAATCATGCCGTCCTATCTAGCTGCTAATTAATATCAACTGTCAATTAGTTATTGATTTGCAGGTATAATAGATTTGCAGGTATAATCCTCTATGGTGCCAATCAATATCTCTGATGATAAAGCTCAGGAACTGGCTAATTCCTTTAACTGCAAAAAAGAAGCCACGCCTTTCACATATCTTGGTCTACCAATGGGATCAACCAGGCCTAAAGTAGCTGATCTGATGCCCATGGTATCTAGGCTTGATCACAGACTATCTGGCATTGCTTCCATGATGTCTTATTCTGGGAGACTTGATCATCTCAAGTCCATAGTTGCTGCTCTTCCAATATTTGCTATGTGCTGCATCAGAGTCCCTTTCACCATACTAGACCACTTTGAAAAATCTGGTAGAAAATTTCTTTGGTATGGCAAAGACATCAATAAAAAAGGAAACTTCCTTGTCAAATGGGATAACGTTTGTCTGCCAAAAAAAGCAGGGGGGCTGGGAGTATGAGATCTGAGAATACAAAATAAAACTCTGCTTACAAAATTCCTTTTCAATTTTCTTCACAAGCACGATATTCCCTGGGTTAACCTTATCTGGAACAATTACTATGGCAATGACGAGGTACCAAATTTCCCCACCAAGGTGGGATCTTTTTGGTGGAGAGACTGTTGTTCTATTTTGCAAGACTTCAAAGATATGACTATATGCTATGCTGGCAGTGGTAATACAATAAAGCGATGGTCAGATAAATGGTGTTCTCATACACTATCCCAGTCAATGCCTCAGCTATATTCTTATGCAAAAGATGTTGACATCACCCTTGCATCTGCCAGCAACATGGAGGACAATGACTTTTATGATTTGTTTCACTTGCCCATGTCTTCCATTGCAGTACAACAGAGTAACAATCTCAGAGAACTGATCAATAGCAGAGTTAACCAGGAAATGCCAGACACATGGAAATTTTATTGGGGTGGCACTAAGTACTCTAATAAGAGAATATATCTTGAACTCATGAGAAATCCTGCTGATGCTCCTAAACCTTATCAATGGATATGGAAGT